AGGTGAATGTTGTAGCTCTATCCTGCGTTAGCTTTTGACAGCGTAAACGGTCATGTCGACTGCTTAGACGTCAAGTGACAACTTAGCCGACCATCGGACTTCCTTACGGTGTGCGGACTTGCAGATCACGACCATGCGCATAGAGAACCTATCGCTTGGCGAAAGGCACCACCGACTGGTCGCCCCGTCGCTAGTCAAGTGGAAGAACGTGTGGCTGACATGCGCAAGTATGGCCGAATGGGGCCAACAGCTGCAGCCCCTCTTTTCAACGTGGCCATCGACATGTGCGTCGTAGCACGTAGAGACGACCAGATATGCCGTAAAACGATCTATCGCAAGCGAGTAGGGCGGGTATTCCACTCGGCAAGAGTTGCTTCATCAACGAATGCGTAGCAGGAGACACAGCTTGTTGCCACTTCGTCGGTACGTCACTCTCGAAAGTCCTGCGTCCCTCTTGACGCGCTCTCTATCGCACGCTAATGTTGACACGTGAGGGCGGTCTGGACAACACCATACGTTGGATGTACATGGAGGTAGCGCTCGGATCAGACTTGGCATCGCCTGACGTGCCGTTGTTCAAGAAGCATTCGTGAGTCACTTCCACCCTGTGGGCCAATGCGGAGTACGTCATGACGGCATAGGGAGCGAGAGGGATGCGGGCCGTATCGACGTAAGATGTTGGCATGATACGAGCACAGGACGGTCTTCTGGGTCTTTTGCTTCATTAGCTATCACAAGTTATCGACATGTGCGCTAGTCGAACGTGGCGGTGTGCCAAAACAAGAGATGTGAAGTAGTTTCTCATAGTCTCCACATGTCGTGTCCTTTTATCGCTGTTGCACCAATGTGCTTCCATGGATAGCGTGTTCATGCGCGTACAGTGTCTGGATGGTCTTTGTGTCAGCAATGCACAATACCGATAGCCGCGCAGGGCTCTGGAGTCTTATTGTCGAGCAGAGGTACCGACTAGTCGAAGCAGGACGATGGCATGTCGACGACCCTTTGTCTTCTTTGCTAGAATGTCAGTTATCAACGCCGCGATTGCCGCCTGGTTGTTACGATTGTAAGCTCATCCTGACAGTGTTCGCGCTGGTAGCTGTCGGGAGGCGGCTGACTCGGTCAACTTGCAACTTTTATGAGATGTGGCACTGTGTCGATGCCAACAAGCCAATGCTCTCGCACGTTGGGATCCGACCCAGTGCTTCTAGATGAAGCCCAAATGGTGACCTTGCCTTGATACGCAAAGGTTTGCCGGTCAGTCCTTTGGCATCTCGGCACGGCATCAAACGATAGGTAGAGCTGCGTATGTATCATGCCTTGCTTTAGCCGGGATCGTCGCTTGATCTCCCCTCACACTCTGGCCTGACATCATCGAATACTCCTTCACCCGTGTGCACTCAAGTCATGTTTGCACTAGTCCATGCGAGCAACGTACGCAGCGAAAACGGGGCTTTATGCTCTAGAAGATGTTGTTCTGGTGACCGATGGATGACGACAAGGGCGTAGCAACACCAGAAGCTTCTGCTCCCACTGACAAGTCTAGTAAGCGTGACTAGTAACGGAAGATGCTGTCTGCCACATCGAGAAAGGCATTCTTCTAGTGACGACTGGAACACGCAGGACACTCGTCCAAGCGCTGGAGATAAATCATTAGTCGCGCTCTGCGAAGTCGCCAGTCTCGTGAGAGAGAGAGTGGTGCACTCTGCAGAAGCTACTTGTAGCGCTAGAGGTGACGATGTTATGGTGCGGTGATGAGCGAAAGGTTTTGCTCCCCTGTGCAAAGACTGACACGAAGAGGGGTGACCAGACCAGAATGTGTCCGGAAGAAAAGGCTGTCGTAACTGGCGATCAATAGCGATACCTCAAGAATATCGATTTGAATATGCTGTCGAGACAAAAGACGCCATCCAAGAAGACAAGGCAGCATGAGAGTAAGGCAGCATGAGAGTAAGGCAACATGAGAGTACGGCATTACGGCACTAATGAACTTGTCCTTGGTGCCGGTCGGGGTAAACGCAGTTGTTCTACTGAGCGCAGAAGAAATTGACTTGTTGTGCTGGGTCGAGAGAAGTCAAGTGCTACTTGCTATGTGAAAACGTGGCTAAAATGTGCATGTTGTACGTGTCTTGAACTATCGTAACAGCGTCACCGTCACATGTGCATCCCGTGCTCTGCGTGGTCTCATGCTACACGCTGAGTTTAGTGAGACGGTGTTTGTCATCTCCATGTCGCAATCGTTGCCACGTGCTCGCTCGCCACATCCGTGCGCGATCGAACCCTGACGTGAACTGCTTTCTCGCACTCGCGTGTCGTATAAACCCAATGCTCGTTTGTGGACCTGTGGATACCGCACGGTGTACAACGCGTATCTGCGTTTATCGAGAGCGTGTTTGTCGGTACCAGTTTGCACACGTATGCCGCTTACTACGTCGTCGACAGCATGACCCAAGTAAGCCGGTCACGCGGTATCAACTTCATCAGCCATCTACAAGCTCTTCCGTCTTTTTGCGTGGTCAACGACACACACCAATGGATCATGCAGGACATGCGGACCCACAATGTGCTGAAGAACGGAAGCGCTGGAAGTTTACGCCCGTCGACAGCTCTAGTCATCCGATCAGCGGACGTGTGTGACGCAACGATCTCATCGCGAGAAGGATCAAAGCAGAAGCTTCATGTCAAAAGCGCGCTTAGAATCAGCAGATACCGTCAGCGAGCGATAGTTCCATGGGCTGCTGCGTGGCTGTGAGAAGCCACAGCGCATCGTGGTAGCTGCAAAGTCTGTCCACACAATTGACTACGTGGCACTTACGTCGTCCGTCTAACGCATGCAGTGCCATAAGATGGCGGCCTCGGCATCCCCGCTGCTCTCAGTCGATCCACCGCTCAGTTATGCTATCACACGTGCGACAGAAGCCAGGAAGATGCCATCCCCGTAGTGCCCCCTCCGACCATTCAAATGTGATCCCACAACAGTCGCACTGTGTCCATTCGTACCTCCAACACTCAGTCACTGGACGAGTCGGTCCGTTCACAAAGTGCGTTCGTTGCTTGGCCAGTCACAACTTTGTTGAGGCTTTTCAATCGCCGCACTTGGTGCCTCCACGTCGACTGTGGTCATCAGAATTGACGGCCGATTCCTGGCAACGTTGAGCAAACGTACTGGCGATGACGTGGTCGAGCGGGGCCTAGCACATCCGCTACTTCATCACGTTGCCAGAACTTGCAACAGGTACCTTCTAGCAGCCTTAACCTGCATCGGCGCTGAGGTACCGCCCTTCATCCACGCTTTAAATACGTGAGACATCGACACATTTACGAGCCAGATCAGCACCGTACAATCGCAGAACTTCTTGGTCGTGACGCGACGCGGCTCGTCAGCGGTGACGACCACCAACTAGTTCAGGCAGTAGTTCCATGACCGTCGCAGATCGCTTCAATGGCTGCTGCTGCTACCCTGCTCAGAACAAGTCTAACTGCTCCTCCACCGAGACTAGACGTTCACTGCACAGCGATCGCGTTACATGCCACATCCCAATGGATGTCAAATTGAGCGAGTCCTTGTTGCGCGCTCGTGCTTCCAGGTAAAGCTCTTCCTGCGAGGCTATCCACAGCCTCTTGGCTCAAGTCCACGAACGAAGCGAGCGTTGCGCAGCACCAAAATTTGCTCGCTCGCTTGCGCCTGTCGCTCGTGACATCCAGGCCACCATCCCCGTTCTCGGACCACTTGGTGGCGTTAGTTGTTGTTGTTGGGAACCGTTTGTCACTCGCTCGATCGATCTGGGTTTGGCGATCCAGTTGCCGGCCGACGGGATGGATTTGCAACGATCGATCGAGACGACGACGTATACAAGCGTCTGGTCATGGTTCGTTCATCTCTGTGCCAGTCTCATACGGTCTGTTTTCGCGGCGCATCGGAGACACTGAGCGCTCCTCACACGAACACACGCGCTCGGAACTGGCACTAGCTGATGCTCATGCTTCCAATCCTGATTTCCATCAACACACACTAAAGCATCCATTGATGCAGCAGCACCCATTGTAGGGCGTCAACATTAGCTCTGTACAGTCCACGAGACCGGATGCTTGCTGCGCTCCTCGTCGCTCTTGCTGTTGCATGCAACGATCTTGGCTCGCGGCCCTGATCGAGCCCTGCAGGTCTGCAGAACGACTTCGCCTCCTGGATTTGACGCTGGTCGCCACCCTTTCTCGTGCGCGTGTCCTTGTGGCACGTCCCCCCCCCTCTGTCGACGAATCTCAAGTGTCGGGCGCGCGCTTGGAAATACTATCAGCATTCCTCAGGCACCTGGAAAGGCCCGACGGCGACCACTCCCCGCAGCAGAAGGTCGACAGGTGGTGGCGGCTGTCCACGCCCGTTGTTTGCCACTCCCACTTGCCGTCGATCGGACGATGGCAAGTGGCTGTACGAGTGACTGTGTGAGTGGGTCTCCAACTCCGCTCGGCGGCAGTTGTTTGACGTACGATCGATCGTCTGGTGGGCAGCTCGAAAAAGTGTGTCCCCAGTGCATTGACGCTGCAATGGGACTTTGGTGTCCGTGCCCGACGGCGTGTATTAGCCGTGAAAAGTTCAGGTTGGGCATGTTGCCCACGTGTAAGTAGATGGGGCCCGTGCTACTCTCCGAGCCGTCACGCAGACGCGTCTTGTCTGGGCACGTCATATCGTGGGGTCGTCACGTGAAAGACGTCGGCGAAACGCAGCGCTTGCGTCGATCGACCCACAGCTCTCGGCGACGGCATTGAGGTGCACGACGACTATGCTGCCGTTTCGACTGTGGCTTTCTCGACAGTGCGGAGCTGCAACATGCAATGGACAGGAGGGAGTGAGTGATTGATAGTATTACATTGTGCTCGCACGGCCTTCGTAGGCAGACAGACCCTTTCTAGTCTAAACGTCGCGCGTCCGTATCGCATACCCTTTGACACAGTGCCGTCGACGCGATAGATCGCGTTTCGCCGCACGTCTTGTCACACGCAACCGATTACCACCGCGAGACACGTCGCTTTAATGGCTGTTGTGGCGGCTGTTGCTGTTGCTGCTGCTTGCCGTGTTTGATGCAAAAGCCGCCACTGCGAGCCGCGTGGGTACAGCCCGCCGTGCCGCACCGCTTGCCCCCTCCGTGCGAGTAGCAGATACCCCCCGACTGGGCGCTCTTTGCGCAGTTGGCCACTGCACAGCGACGGCCGCCGCCGTGGGAGATGCAGAACCCCCCGCGGTGGGCGCACTTCTGGCATCCCGTCATCTTGCAAAAGTGGCGGCCGCCGTGTTCCATGCACAGGCCTTTGCGCCGCGCGTCTTTATGGCAGCCCTCCCGACGGCACTGCGTGATGGGTCGGTAGCTGCCCATGCCAGCGGTCGACAAGGCAGGACTTGCCACGACGCGGGGTCGCTTGGTCACGGGAGCCGACAAGTAGGTCGTTTGCTCGGCAAACATTGGCGACCGTTTCGTGGGCGGCGGCGCTGGGGTAGGCGTGTACAGGGGGCTGCTGTAGCTCGGGTACCCCGACACGCCGAGGGACGGACGGCCTTGCGGTGCTACTTGCGTCTGCGTGGGTACAACCGTTTGCAGCGCCGGTAGGTACGGCAACTGCGTCGTCCCTGGCGACGGAAGGCCGAGGCCCGGAAGGTGCTGGTGCGGGTTCGTGTTGGGTGGCACGAACGACGTCTGGTTCGAGTGGGGAGCGGGTTGACCGTGGATATGGTCGTGGCAGTACCCCTGCATTTTGCTGAAGTTGGCACAGCCGCGGAAGCTGCAGTACTCGAGTTTGAGCGGGTTCAGGACGTTGGGCGTCCTCAAGACGGGAAACCGGGCGGTCGTTGTCGTGTTGGCGGGACTGATGTTGCCCAGCGATGGCAAACACGGCGACGTTGCAATGGTTGTCGACGTGTGGGACCGGACGACCGCCGGACTGCAACTGCTCTGGAGCTGCCGCTTCCTCCAGTCGCTCGTCTGCTCTGCCAGCAGCACAGAGTTCGCTTGCGTCGTGGGCCACGCGTGAGGAGGTGTCATCAGAGCGATCACCATGTGGTGGACACAGTGCACGCGCGCGTCCGAGTGAACGAACAGCTACAGGTCTCGTCAAGCGAAAGAGCAGCTTCAACTTGCCACCGACACTCTCTTCCCGCGAGCTTGAGTCGCTCTGGTCAAATTCGCAAATGACCGATCGCAGAGCAGCTCGCCAAACGGACGGACGGACGGACGGACAGTCAGTCAGTCAGTCGGTCCATCGAGCGAGTTACGTCGCCCGTGCGCCGCAAGGTTTTTTACGGTCGCCTTTTGCCGCCGAGATTCGTCACGGCGCTGTGTGGTCGCTCAGGGGATTTGGTAGGGCTCGGCGCCGAGCTTTCTCCGGCTCGGGCTTTCTGCCCGCGGCTGGTTTTTCTTCTTAGTCCATTTTCTTCGACCAGTGGCACACGCACCTGTGGGTGTGCTGCGGCGCTCGGGTCAGTCGGATCCACAAAGTCGTTCGCCCTTTCACTCGACGTTAACGGCTTGGCGAGACGACGGACTGGGCCGCGTCCAGAGGCACTGACTTTTTTCGCGAGCCCAAAGAGCTGTTCATGGCCGTCGCGGCACTGGACGCACTAAGGAGCGCCCCACAACAGTTGGCGCTGCTAGTGGACCATTCGTCGATCGATGAGCTTTGCCAGCGGCACATCTGTCTGCGTGGCCATGTGCGCCACGGCTGGAGGTGTAACTGTCGGTGGTTTACATCCAACAGCACGTCGCACTTGCAGGTTGTAGGAGGCTTTGGACAGCGGTGCTGCCTGGTGATGATCATGACGACGACGACGATGACGATGATGATGATGATGATCGTTGTTAGTGTTACTATTGTTATTGACCTGCCCACTGTTGTCCCGCCACGTTCATCACGCCACGGCCGCTTTAGGATGTTTGAACTGCAACTCGCATACCGATGGAGCTGTAGCTGTTGGCCGTGGCGTACGCAGCGCTTGCGAGCTCCAGAGCTGCCAAAAGCCATTGCATCGACCGGCGCTCTGGTTTTCACACGGACGTTGTTGCCGTGTCGAGCGGCTGCACCGCACCCTGAAACATGCGCGAAAACAGATCGTTCGTTGCGCGATCTAGTGCTTCAGCTGCGTTGGCCACGCCTGGGCATCGCGCATGCCTATCGCCGCGCGAGCACCGTATAGATTGGCCGTCGCTGGTAAAAACGCGGGGCTGGTCGAGAGTCCTACGACGGCAGGCGAGGTAGCAGCCCTTCGTGCACGATGGGCATCGTCACGAACAACGACTTCGTCGGACACGAAGATTAGAAGAGCGGCTCCACCGCACGGGCGCAGTGGGTGTCCCGGGGTCCCGTCTCGACTGAGCAGGTAGCACCGACAGGATATGTGCCATGGGGCACTCGGTGCGGTGATGACAAGTTGTGTCGCGGTCGGCTCTTGAGCTGCCGGCGCCAGGACACGATCGATCGACAGCGTTTGCAGTGCAGCGGACGGACGGACTTTTCCATCAGGTTGTGTTGCCATACCCGCACGTTGCGAAGCGCTTGTTTACTGTCTCTTGCTCCGTTGGCGACGTCGGCAGACCAGCGCTTTGATCGCGCAACGATCACGTCGTGGACGGACTGAACCCGATGCGTAGATCGCTGCCGAAGCAGCACGGATCATTCTGAGTGACGAGACGGCCACGACTCGCGCATGTACCGATTGCCGGTGCAAAGGCTGCACGCATAGCCCTACGAGACGCTGTGGACGAAGGATCGCTCGAGAGACGTGTGGCTAAGTGTAACGCTCTTTGGCACGAGGAAGAGTTCCCACGACAAGTACGAGTGCACGGCCAATGGATCTCAGTGCGTATCAACCTCATACATCGGTACGGAGCCTATCGACTGCGTTAGCTAAAGCCAACGAGAACGCGAGAGGACGCTGCTGTCTTGCGGTCCTACAGCAGCGCGTGTCCCTCTTTCTCGCCGTAGCTAATGCTGTAATCCCAGCGCTTACTCTGCAGCAATTCGGTCGCACTCGAACGTCTCGTGCCGGACGTGGTTGTCATGATCCCCACCCGCTTCATCAGATACGGTCCGTACACATACTGTCGTATTGACGACAGTGTCAGTCTGCGCATCTCTCCTGACAGAAGAGCGCAGGGCTCGCACGAGCTTTGCTCGAGCCTTGTCACATGAATGGAAACCCTACGAGCCTCGTGCACGCTCGCTCAGCTGGCCGCAGCCTGACACGAACGCCGACTTCCCAGCTGGTGAGCCCCCCCCCGACCCGTTCCTGCAACGCGATAGACTCGCCGACGACAGATGAGGCGTCCGCAGCTGTTTGTCTTGCGACCAGAGGCGTGTGGCTCCGGTGCCTCGACGTCGTGTCTCGTGTTGACCACCGAGTTCTGCGCTCTTCTGGTCTCTCGACCGGAGCAGAGCGTTTCGCTTCTTCGGGCAGACCGTGAAGCCATCAATTACTACCGCAGGGACAGGCCCGTCACGAAGGCAGCTGCAGCGGCGCGCACGACAGCACCAATCTCGCTTCGCGGGGCCATCTTGACTATCCACGACGATCAGTAGCCGTTGTGTGCACTGGCGAAGAACGGCGAGATGATTGTTGACGCCCGTCGCCGCCATCGGCTTGGAAAGGCGGGCAAACGATGGCCGTCGCCGGTGTTCAGAAGCGAGAGACGCGACTGAGTGTCAACGCCCCGATGGCGTCTCGACGATCGATGTCGCTCGCGGCCACAGCATCTCCGTCCACACCGCTGCACGTCAATGCTACACGTGTGTAGCACGCAGCCGCTCACTGTTGTTGGCGGTGGTGTCGTCTGTCGGTACGGACACTGGACGTGAGACGACAAGGAGCGGTCGGAATGTTACACGGCATCCCGCGAGGCTCTCGACCAGGTCTTTCGCTCTCTCTCTCTCTCTCGCTGCGGTACTTCGCCTGGGACACTATTGTGCCCGTTCCCGTCTCCTTACGTGGGTTCAAACCCACAATCACGCGACGGCGAAGCACAAGCACGAGCCAAAGCGGAACCACTCCACGTCGCACCGCCGCCCGAAGCATTACAACGTCGCGGCTGCTGAAAAAAGTGGTCTCGCAACGGGCCGTCGACGCAGACCGCACGTCGCGCCCACTTGTCGTGCCTTTGTAGTACAACATATATATGTTATACTACAAAGGCACGACCCACGGCCCTCCTCGTCTGCTCGAGTCCCGCGTCGGTCCTGTAGTAGGTGTGGGCCAACTACCACTGTATGTCGCCTCTCTCCTGCTTCTTTTTGTACCAATCAGCAAGTAGCAACCCCCCCCCACCCACCCCTTATCCCTCAGATAGGCCTCGGTAGTCATATTCCTTCCACTCGGCGAGCCTTTTTCCGGCCGTCCCCCTTCTTATCTATTACTCGCCATGAGCTCCTCCTCGGAAGAAATGCTCACGAGCGTCTTAGTGCTCCAGCTCGAGGCCATCAAAGCCCTCGTGACCGAGTACCACCAGCAGACCGAAGCGTTCGTCCAGCAATTCGGCCACCTGCCGCTGTCGAACGAACCCGTCGACGCGGCCCACGACGCGCGCATTGCGCTGCGGCCGCTGCCGTCTCTGGCCGAAGGGTGCGTTGTCTCGGAGGTGATTCTGGCCGCCACGAAGAGCCATTGCAGCCAGACGATGTGTGCCACGTCAACTGCCGACCTCGAAGCGTTTCTAGGTAGTGCTCGAAAACACGTCAAAACAGTGGACGACCGCGTGCACGCGCTGTTTGTGCTGGACGCGAGTCTCGCCCACGCCGAGCTCCGGCAGGAGATGCAGGCCACGTTTGAAGGCAAACAGGGCTACGCGCTGCTCGTCGAGTGGCTCGCGCTGAGTTGTAGTTACAAGGACGAGACGTCGAGGGCGTTCACCGAGTTGTTGCTGCTCGTGCTGAAGAAGAAGATGCCCGCCATGTTGTTCACGATAAAGACAGTGGTCAAGAACTTGACGCAGTATAAAAAAGTGATCAAGGGGAAGCACAACAAGGGGCTGTTGCAGGACGTGGTGGATCAGTACCGCAAGAAGATAAAGGTGTAGTCGACGGTCCGTTTGTGGGGCGTCTTAGCTCAAGACGTTGCATGTCTTTTTTTTTCTTCTTGATTCGATCACAGTGCGTGTGTGTGTGTGTGTGTGTATGTGTATGTCAATGATGAACCTACTCGAATGAACATACTCGAAAGAAAAGCACAGTGTGTGCCGGCACCACGTGGAAAGTGTATTGCTACTTTGTTGCAAGCAATGAAGTGCACCTGTCGACATGAAGGGGTCGCTCGCTGTCAGGTGCTTCGATCCAAGAGCGCTTTTTGTGCATGAAGTCATTGGGTGGGGGATGAAAACCACGAGACGATGCAATGTCAAGGCGAGCTCCGTTCGGGAACACCGTAGACAACAGCACAACATCAAGTGCGATGCGTCGACGAAGAAAAGTCACCGCGACGGCATTGCAGGCACGTCGTCGATCACAAATGTCTGGAAATCTGACGACGTCTTCTGGGCCAGCCACGGGTGCCACAAAACTCGATAGTTTCTGCAGCTACCACAATTCATCTAAGCCACACACACGGGATCCTTCGCAAGCCGCACGCACTCGTGAATCATCTGACAGCCTTGACAACATTTACATGCACGAGAATGTCCCAGCGAAAACGAGAAAGACGTGGAAGCCTCGATTCTAGAGCGTGTGCGTCTACTGATGCATCGCGCGCTGACAGCTGCACGTGTGGGCAGCATTGATTGATAGTGAAGACAGGTCGTTGCTGACACTACACATTGCGGTGCGCACGACCTCAACAGAGCTGCGAAAGCTGAACGGTATATGCGACTCGTTACTGCTTTCGGCATGCAAAAGACGAGGCCAATTGTGTGCCGATATCAAGGACAGTAAAGTTGTAGGTACGCCCATCCGTGTCACGAAAAGACTGAGAGCTAGCTGTGCTTACGAGTCGATCCCCGCCTTTTCGACCCGAGCAGTGGCGCTTGCACGTTGCTTGCAACCTCGCTTGACTACATCATGCAAGAACGACTTTACCACTATACACCTACTACTTAGCTCAGGGGCTGCTTGCGTTAAAACCCACTATGACGGATGCACTAGGGAGTTGCTAGTTACTACTTTGCCGGCCGGAGCAGCTTTGCATTCGCACGCTTGTGATTGTGAAGACGCGTTCTACCCCACCTCTTTGTATGATAGACCAACGACCCTTCTGACACGCAAACGAAGACTCGCGCTTGCTAAAGACGGCAGTGTCATTTTGGTCAACACCTTTCGCGATCTTGTTACAATGTCATTGTGTGGAGAGTAGAGTTTGAAGCGGCCAAAGTATTTCGACCTCCAGGTTGTGTTTGGTCCCGTGCTTTGTCAACGTCCTGTCGTTAACGGTTACATAAGATGACTCAGCGGCTGCGTCGAAGTTCGGATCGTCGATCATGATGGATCGACGCAGCACTCTCGTTGAGCTATCTAGCGTCAATGCTGAGCTCAGCAAAGTGCTCGCTCCGATGCATTGTCTTCTACTGAGTCTTAACCGAACTTCGGTATGTTTCTGCGTCGAGGGAGACCGACCTCGTTCGATGGCCGCTGACTTACAGCATGAATAGATTATACAACTCGTTCCGGTGAAGATTCGTTGGCTTGTAGCCTGACAAGGTACGTCTGTAACACTACCATCAGTGCTAGTTTGCTTCGTCCGTAGTCATCCCAATTTTGTACCACAAGACACGGATGGAGTGGCGCTGTGTGCGTTGCAAAATCAGCCCACAGTTTGGTAGACATCTGTAAAGTGACCCAGTGACTTTTTGGGATATATCGATCAGGGAAGAGACACCACGTAAGACGTTGATCGTTTCGGTACATGTAGACCTTTTTGTGATAGTGATCCAAATTTCGAACGCATCCATCATTTGTCTTGCCCTCCTCTGACTAGCAGTGATTCACAAGATCTTGTCTCGGCCAGCTCCAGCTGACGGGTCGTATCCTTTTCGATAGGAGCAATGGTCTTCAAATGCGCATGAGATTTCACACACGCAGCTGGTTGAGATTACATCGTTATATCTCTGCTTCAGTTTATTCGAGGCTTCGCAGTCTCCTTTCGGGTAACCGTTGTTTCTCTGCGTATCCATAATAGTTTGAGAGATAGGCGTGTTGCAAGCAGATCCCCTGTGAGGCTACATACGTAGCACATAGCAGCAGGCGGGTTGTAATGACCCGCCTACCGACCAGCGCGTGAAAGAGTCGGTAGACAACGTAGATGTTTTCAACCTTCCCACGCTTGTCACAATCGACTGCATTCTGATCAGTGTTTCGACGCTACAGCCGCTCAACACGCGATGCTGTCTGCATCCAACGGCTACGTCTTTCTTGGCCGTCGTATTTGCTGGTAAAGGCTGAGCTTTGGTACTTGTAAGCTCCAGGTCATCCATGATCTGTGACGGTGGCTTGTGGAGATGGAGACACTTTTCAGCTCTTGTTCCAGTCAAGTGTTGACTTCAGCACAGAACATTTGCTATAAACTTGTCCGGAAGCTTTAGAGGTGAAGTGAGGTGTCAACGCTCTGAAGATCCGTAGCCTTTGACGTAGGATCCCGTCCGGTGTTTCGGGCGTTGTCGCGTGATCATGTTCCTTTTGTTGCTACGGTCTGCTTGTGATTTACGAAATTGATCCGCCGTGTGCAAAGAACCACAACAGTCCGATAAGTAACACCTTCGCCAGGTGATTCCCTATCCGCCGGATCCACAACGTATCGGAGGAAGTACCGTGACACCCATGCGCGTTTTCGCATGTTGCCAACCAGCTGCTGCATACGAAGCGCTGGATACACAACCGTGTACGTAACGTAGCACAAGGACATGAAGGGCTGAACGCCTATCGTTACCACTCCCCGATCCGGTTCCTTACAGGGTATTTTGCTGGATGTTGCGCCTCACAGTACCTTACCTTCTACAACAACAACAACCAGATTCCGCTGGCTATAGTCTGCGCGAGTCATTGGTAGCAGCCGCATTGCAGAATATCGTCGCGAACGGAGACGTCACGCAAGTGCGATCGATTCCTGCGAGTAAGTAGGACGCCAATTTCGCACCGTTACGAGGAAACGTCTCGAAAAAAAAACAGTCGGCTTCACACGCCACACAAATTCGACAGTTTGTATGCGACCGCAGAATGCAAGCGATCCGAACGCGTCGTTCTGGTCTTGTTGCTGATCCAGGGACTGCTGCTTTTGTTCAGGATGAAGCAAATGAGCGACGACCGTTTCATTGTAAACCCGCAGTCGAAAGTTACATGCACGGGGCAAACACACACCATCTACCGACGACAGTACCTTTCTTCGGGTTTCTCAGGTGTTGTCCATTACACTCACTCATACATACGTACATACCTCCCGTCCCTCATCTCTATTTCTATACAACCCAACAACCGCTTCTCTAGGTCGGACTACAAGTCAGCGACAGCAGCCTTTTTGGGTTCTTGGTCACATCGTTGCGCATCAAAGCAACAGGTGACCGCAACGATCCACTTTTGAGCAGATCAGTCCATTTAATTCAGTCTATTTTCTTCCTTCGCGTCGATCAAAGCTATTTCGGCGTCATCGCCCGCTTTCGTCGACGCATCACTCTTACTGGACCCGATGCGTGCTTGGCTCCAGTCAGGAACAACACCACTATATCCGTAGTCAAAGAATAATTCGTCTCCAGCTGCAATATCTTCCTTCGCATAAATACCAATACGATGATCTCCATTGACAAACATAATTCGGGCAAAACACTTCGGCCGCGTCGAGTCGTGGTTAGCAAACTTGCTTTTGTTGCCCTTGCGCGTAGCATCCACGACGGAATCTTCCGTCAAATCAAAGAGAAAACTGATCGTCGTCTTGTCGTATACGTTGCCTCGCCGTTCTGCTTCGTCTTGGGACAACAACGAGCCAGTGTACTCATACATGAACTCACCCTTCTCCACGTTCTCTAGCGCGTATGCTCCCCATCCATGGGTTTCTGACGCTGAGATCCCGATTTTGCTCATCTTGCCGCGCAAAATGTTCACGTTTCCGCAGATTCGGAGCTGTGCTGCAGTCTTGTCTTTGCTTTCGTCGTCAAACACGACAACTGGAAGCTCGCTCGCTCCGCACGAAGTACAAACGTCTGGATCGCACTCCCTCCCCGCAAAATAGCATGGACAGTCGAAAGCCCGACACTGGCCCGCTTCGCAATGACATCCAGGAAAACGATTGGAGCAATCGACGGAGCACCCGCACGACTTTTCGCAGTAGTGGTCGCGACGCATGCACGAGCATTGTGCCGAGTCGCAAGAGCCGCCGTCATGGTTGCAAGGAATATACTCGTGATTCGCACCGCGATCCTTCATTCGCTGGGCACGCGTGCGGCGAAGGTGCTCGTAACTGTTGCCAAAAGCTCCATTACTCCTTTCTCGGTTCCGCCCATAGACATCATTTCGCAATACGCCAAGTTCGTAGCGATCATCTCGCGCTTGTCGGTTTCGTTCTTGTATGAAATGGGCAACATCGATGCAGCTTCGTGAGTGAAGCAACGCAGCTAAGGCGCACGCGCTAAAACCGATACAACTCTCGAGTTTGTTCAGCAATGCAACTTCTGAGTCTTTCCACGGCTTTTCTTCCACTGTGCCACGAAAACCACGGGCTTCTTCGCACGAAGCAGTATCTGCTGCTGGCTTCGAGCAATAAGCACCGCATCGATATTCGGTAGACAATAATTCCAGCTTTCTATCTTGCGTGATTGCTTGGTACGTGCCATCAAGTCCTAAGTATTCTGACACGTCTGTAGTTCTGCAACGCACCATCTTTTTTGTCGGAACACGACCTGCATTCAGAATCGATGATGCTTTCGTACTAGCAGCCGTTCGAGCACGCATCGATCGCTGCGGAAAGTCACCTCCAGCAGCACTTGCTGTATTACTTGTTACATCATTTTCTGCTTTAATGGGGGAAACATGAGGCGCCGGCTCGGACACCGGCTCATCAGATGCAAAATTCTCTTCATCGTCCATTTCTACATCAATGTTTTCGGCCAAACGCAGCTGCTCTTTCTCCACGCGTCGCCACAATATCGAAGAAGCCTTCACCAGGGGATAGCGTGGGTCGACGCGCATGACCGGAACAGGCTGATGGCGACCGTGATTTCGGCAGCTGTACACGCAGCAGCGGCGGCAGAAAAATTCTTGATACTTGGTCGCTAGTTCACGATATTGCTGAGATGGAGCGCTCCGCATACCTAGATCTTCTGCGGGCTGCAAGCATTTCAATATCAGTGGCGCTGGTACCGGTTGCAATGCGCGGCACGTGTCGAGAATAGCAGCAATCGCACGTTTCTTGGGACCAGAAATGTCGCCGTTGTTCAGACGCGCTTCCAGTTCGTGCAAATGTCGCTTCCACAATTGATTTTGCATCCCACGGGCGAGAATATCAGAGTAGTTTGCCAACGGTTGCGAAAATGCACCAATTCGTTTGAGCGCCTCAAAAGCGTCTTGGCCGCTCCCACAAGTATGCACAGCATACCGTAAGACGAACTCCTTTATCTCGTCATCCATACCCACAAGTGTATCCTTGCACTGCTCAAAAGAGCTGATATGGGGCTCCCTCGCCTTGTTGTCGCTACCTTCATCACCAAAGTACGGCACAAACCGAATGATTGGATCGTCCTCGACTCGGTGCGTGCCGCGCACCAACATGCAAGCTGTTGAGCGTGGGGCAGCCGCCATTTTGCTGAGATGCGTCACTGTGATAGGATGCAGCTCAGTACTGTAGCCAGACTCACTCCGTCCCACCGAGTACGACGGTCGTTCCTCATCGCCCAGCAAACCCTCTGCAGTCCGGAGCAGTGCTCTTGTAGCAACTTTTTCCAGCCTCGTGATCCGAAGCGAACGTCCTGTCGACGAATATAGCAAACATACACAATGTCCATCAGACCGAGATTGTGCAAGCTTCTCCCCTCGCTCCTTCTTCAAAGACTTTACCAACAATCGACGCCATTATCTTGGCACGCACAACAGGTCGATCTTCCAAGTACGCTGCAATCTGCTGCCGCGTATGGCCAATAATCGTCTTGACCCTTGCCGCATGACTTGCTCGGACCAGTACCGTCGCTTCGTCAATCACCTTTTGCACTCGATCGTCCATCTGCTCACGGTCACGAGCCTGCAAGCAAGCCACGAAAAACAAAGCCACCAAGGCACAACGCGCATCAGCTCCATCACTCTCGCCCTCAATCGTCTCGAGCCCACGCGTTGTCACCTCGGCCAACGTCCCCGACATCACACTCAACGGCTTCGGCTGCCAAAAGTCCGTCGACAAGCGACACGCGCTCTTCACGTGCGCGTCAAACTCGTCCAGCGCAACGTCCAGCTCCCACGCGAACGGCCGCAACAGACCGTCTCGATCCGGCAACACGTTCACGGGCGCAGCTTCGACCTTTACGTTCCGCCACGCAGTCGAGTGCAGCGTCACGTCCAAGAGGCCGTGTGTCGACGACCCCTTGCGATGCGGGCGCAGACAGGCGGCCCCGCTGCTGTCCCCCAGACCAGAGGCCTCCCAGCCAAGCTCGCTGCCTCGACTCCCTCGCTCGAGTGACATGGGCCCACCACCGTCGGCGACCGGCGCACTTAACGGGCGCCGCAGCTTCTGCCGCGCCGATCGCCGCTCTTCCGCGCGCTTCTGCTTCGACCGCTTGGCCGGCGATCCGCCCCGTTCGCCCGTGCGCAGCTGCTGGTACCGACTCTTCGCGTAGGTCAGGCGCTCCATCTCGCGCTCCTGCGCCATCACGTCGGCGAACAGCACGCGGCCTGTGGTGCGCCGGAGAGTGCGTCGCGGCTCCCCGTCGGGCGACTCGCGGCGGCGCTTGGGGCGCTCGTCCGTCACGTCGATCACTTCGGTGCGCTCCATCGCGCGCGCGTCGGTCTGCGTGTGGGTCAGTATCGCCTTTGGATTCGTTTAGAGAGGGAGGCGACAAAGGCTGGCGGGCGTGGACCCTGCGAGATCGAATGGGCGACGGCGGCGATCGCTTTGGAGAGGGACGCAGCGACGCGCGGTCGGGTTTTATACCACCGTAAGTGGTGGTTTCGTTGTTGTTTTTGTTGTTGTTGTTTTTGTTGTTGTTGTTTTTTTGGTTTCGTTGCTGTTGGTTTCGTTGGTGGGTTGGTGTTGGTTTGGTTGGTTGTTGGTTTGGTTGTTAAATTCAATGCCGAAACCGGTGTTTTAAACCGCGACACGGTTTGACACAATATGACGGCACTGCTACCGCTGCTTCGACGGCGCTGCTCGGGCGGTCACACTGCGGGTGCGTTGTTGGCTCGGGCTGCACGTGGACGCAGCGCGAGACGCGGCTTTCGTGCGCACGGACAGCGGTCGGCGGCGCTGCGACTCGACTCGGGCGCGTGTGGACTGCCGCACCCGCAGAAACGGGCCACGGGCGGAGAAGACGCGTGGTTCATATGCGACAATACGGTCGGCGTGGCGGACGGCGTGGGCGGCTGGGCCCGTAAAGTACGGACTGTCGTATTGCAATACAACGCGAGACAGAGCGGTTCGATGGTTTCGGTCGTGGTACTGTTTTAGTGACATTACTATCTGGTTGGGGTTTTTTGTGTGCCTTGTGTCTTGTGTCTGTGTGTGGGGGGGGGTAGGGGATCGACTCGGGCGAGTATTCCCGGACACTGATGGCGTCGGCCGAGCATATGGTGACAGTAGCCACGGAGAGGCCGACGCCATTGCAAGTGCTGACGGAAGCGCATCAGAACGCACAGGTTTCGCGAGATGGATACAGGATCTCAAGTGTGGAAATCTCGAAGCTCACATGACATTTGTTGTTGTTGTTATTGTTGTTGTTATTGCGTTGTTATCGTGTTGTTGTTGTTGCTGTTGTTGTTGTTATTGTGTTGTTGTTGTTGTTGTGGTTGTTGTTGTTGTGTTTGTTGCATGGTCCGATAGTGTCTGGGCAGCTCAACGGCGTGTATCGTGCAGCTGGACGGTGAGGTGCTGCTTAATGAGGTGGCTGTGGGGAAGTGAATGTCGATCGAACGTGTGCGTTGGCATTGTCGTGCAGACGCGATGCTGCGCGCAATCAATTTGGGCGACTCGGGCTTTTTGCTCTGTCGATTGCATCCGGACGAAGACGCGCGCGGTGCGCGAAAATGGCAGATTGTGCACGAGACGCTGCACCAGTGCCATTACTTTAACTGTCCGTACCAGCTGGGCTACGGTGCGAACGGCGACACGGTGTGTATTGCTTGCGCTGGCTGATGTGAAACGGAATGGAACGATGTGACGTCTGTTGTCGCTTGTGTTGGACCAAGCCTGAGATGGGCGAAGTGTACGAGTTAAAAGCGCAGGAAGGTGACGTGATCGTGCTGGGCACCGACGGACTGTACGTTTGTGTGCCTCTTTTGACGATGACTTGTTTGGTGGGTTGTAGACTGAAAGATGATGTGCTTGGACCATCTCTTTATGTTGTCGTAGCTTTGACAATCTGTATTCAGAGCAGATTGCAAGTCTGTTGGACACAGTGTTACCATCCACGCAAGAGGAGCATAACCAGCTTAGCATGGACAAGATTGCGTCGTGCATTGCCCACACGGCGCACGAGGTTGCAAAAGGTACCAAGACGAAGACGCCGTTTGCAGTAGCAGCACAGCAAGCAGGCTACGAGTATCTCGGTGGAAAAATGGACGACATCACAGTCGTTACGAGTCTGGTGACGGGCGATTGGGCACAGAAATGAAGCGAGTTGTAAACCAGGCGGGGTCAACTACCTCGGTCGACTTTACATTGCGTTGGCAAGTTTCTCGCGTGACGCTATTGCGAAGGCTGGATCTCTAGTGTGCTGAGCTCCGAATCGTTGGACACAGGACATGCTTTGCTATGCTCGCGTCAAAAAGTGCTTTTTTGCCGACAATCTTGCTGCGGCGGGATTGTTCGGGTGCATGTCGATAGCTTCCGATTCTTTTTGGATTGCATTCGTTTCGGGTGCTGCGTCAAGGCAAATGCGGCCAGGAAATGAGATTGTGAAGGACATAATGCAGGGTTCAACATTTGACAAATAAAACGCAAAATCGCATCGGTATTGCAAAGTGCTTTTTTCGCCCATGCCAAAAACAAACGGCTTTACAGTCTCGAAAAAGTCCGGAAGAAAAAGCGTCTTTCTCGGTGCTTTTTTTGCGAGTCAAGCAACACCATTGTGACTTTTGCAACATGCCACTTTTCCGCGTGACGTCTTTGACAGGTCTATTTGGATAGAGCGTTACAGGAGAAGTAACGTACGTTGACGTGTCTGATGCAGTAAGGATCACATACACACTTTTCGCTCTCTATAGGCAGATTACTTGTTGATGGAGTAGAGTTGGGCCTGTACAAGATTCGTCGTTTGCTGTACACTATCCATTGCAGCAATTAATGTTGTACCAGTTTCCGTCACTCAATATGGACACGATCCGTTCGACATCAAAAACCTGCTCGAGACGAAGTGGCAAAGACAGATCATGCCAGGGGTATATGCAATTGGATTGTGAGCTCTACATGCCGCAGAGAGTTGCGGTAAGAAAAATGCGATGATCGTATCGCGAAAGCTCTTCAGGATTTTGTTGCAATCTGCATCTGGTCCTTCGGGTTCAGTAACAAAGGCATGAGAGCTGCTCTAGATATGTAAAAGAGTATAGCAAGCTCGTGGGATATTGGAAGCGTATCGCTCTTGTGATCATGTCTATACTTCTTCATTTGGTCGACTTAGCTGACGAGTGGTAACAAGAATCTCGTCTGTCGTCATCTGAGCAAAATCGATGGTGAATTGCCCTAAAGTTGTCTTTTCAAGGTGATAGCGTCACGTAGATTACCAGATTGATGTGTAGCAATTGACGCTCAGCGGAGATTTCAGGCTTCTGGTATCTTGGCTGCATCATGTTTTGGCAAAGAATCGACCTGCTCAAATGCTGATCAACCTGCCGCTCTTAGTTCATCTCCATTCGTCTTGACGGCTCGCGATCGAGGCTGATTGACGATTTCGGAACATAGCACAACGCATGTCAACATGCCCGTACCGAGCAAGTGTGTGCTATGCGGCTTGTAGTGGGCGATAAGTATCGAAGCCCGTGCCGGCAAAACCCGTGTCTCGTGTTTTGCTCAAAGCACTTGTTTTCCAAACAAGTATCTCGAGTTTGTTCATCAGCTCTTGCAAATAGCATTTAGTCGTGCCGAGCGCATGCTAGAAATCGAAACAATGTCGGTGGAATCAGACAATTTTGTGCTACTCGTATATTTTGCCAGCCTTGTTCAAGTTTGGCTGTTTGTGATTCTAAAAGCCCAGGTTAGCAACTACGAAAGCAATCAAGAGCAGGAGTACCTAGGTCTCATTAAAACTAGGTATCTTCTCTAGATGTGGGGCCATCGACGCAGACGCGTTTGGCATCGAAACAATACGACATACGACAGCTATGCGAATGCACACCAAACGCCAGATCCAGCAAATCGGATGCAAAAGGCACCTACGCTTCAGTGTCCTTACGACGACAATCAAGTTGAGCAGCATGCTCTACAGCAATTTGGTCGGACTTCTTCACTCGCAACTCAACGATTCATCCACGAAAATGAGGCACTACGACCGCAAAGTCGTGGCACTCCACACGCTAAAACCAGCCCGCTACATTATCAAAGAGACTGCCCCGTGCAGACTGCTACGTGGACAGCTTAAAACCTCTGCTAAATCTAACTACGCTTCCTATGCGTTCGGTGCTTCTGGCAAAATGCTTGCAGTTGTCCCCCTTCTTTCATAAACATATCGTAAGTCCCTCTCGATTCACGGCCACATTGCGGGTGGAAGTACGTCGAGCATGAACTTCGCATGCATTTGATACAGCCACCTTTCTTCCCGCACAAAGCGCAAGTCGTGTTTTTCATCTCCTCAACAGCAGCTGCAACGTTTCTGACTCCGTTCATGCGCTCCACATCCGAAAATTGAACACCGGGCGCCCACAGGGCGCACACCACATGTACCCATTTGCCTTCGCATGTCTTTTTGAACGCACTTTTAGGGCGCTTTAGAGGACATAACTCGCACGGCTGGAACACGAACAAGTGTCAACATCGCATCATCAAACCGTCATAAAAGAGCTGCAAAGAGTTCCGTACCGCATCTGCAGTAGAATCCGTCCGCTCAGCACAATAGTCGCAGAACCATGGCTCGTCCCCTTCAGGCACTGATTTGATTCCATAACAGTACTGGAAGAGAGAGTGTAAGCTCAAACATACTCGGGTGACGGCAGCTGATCTAGAACTCGTACCTGATGAACAGCGACAGAACACTTCTCACACTGCACGATGGGATCGTCAAGATAGCCTTGGTCGCTGAAGCATACTCGGCACCACATGTCTTCGTCCTCTTGCGGGTCAACGTCTTCTCTAACAGCTTTTCGAGATTTGCCACCAGCTTTTGCTTTGGGTTTATGCAGACGACTCCTGGTAGCCTCCTTCGCCGTCTCTTCCTCTTCTTCATCATAAGCATCTTCTTCTTCCTCCTCTTCTTCCTCCTCTTCCTCCTCCTCTTCCTCTTCCTCTTCCTCTTCTTCTTCTTCCTCCTCTTCCTCCTCTTCTTCCTCTTCCTCCTCTTCCTCTTCCCTATGTTCTTGTACCTCTTGCTCCTCCTCGGAACCGCTTGCACGTTCTTCGGTCGTATCTCCAACAACGGTCAGTCGGAGTTGATCAGCATGCTTATTGTTGACGAATGCAGATGGTAAGTCCGTCTCTCTTGACGATTTACTGAGCTTCGTCTGTACCTTTCGGATCTTGCTTGCCACTTTTACAAGACTGTAGCTTCCGCTGCTTTTGGACGCCTTCAGCTTAATACGAATACCGCTCAATGCACAACCGCTGGGTGATGAAACTCGCGTATTCTTACTACCGGACGCTTGGCGGGCTGCTTTCTTGCGCTTCGGTGGGCCAATTTCATCATTACCGAACTCGCCCTTACGCTTGTGGCCCTTCCGGTCTTTCTTTCTATCGGCCTGTGGACTCCGCTTGCGACGGGCACCACCTTTTTTTACTTTCAGCGGCTGCTCTTTTGGTCCATCGAGGAACTCAATATACATCAACTCGCCCCCGACGTCTTGGCTACGCCGACGTTTGGGACGCTCAATCACCTGTAGCCACTCGGTGGCAACCTCTCGGACGTTCACGACTCCCTTAATAACGCGACCAGTGACCTTCAATTCAATCAAGATCGAGAGCACTTGGTCAGCGTCTGCTAATGACTTGCCTCGTTGTCGCTCCTTGACAACTGCACGAGCCAATTCGCGCAGCTGCGAGAGAAATGCTCTGACATCATCTTGTGAAGCCGTTTTAAGCCAGCCTTCTTGAACTTTCGTCATAAGCACTTGCACAGGCTTAGGGCCAAGAACCTTCTCCCAGAACTTCTCGTCGTTGAAGTCGATTGTGGAGTCTGCCGATTCCGACGTGAAGGATGCCTTCGAGAACGAAAGTGCGGTGGTCTGAGAAACCGGCGCGGATCTAGAATTACCGTCGTCACCTCCACTAGTCCCATCGTTCCCGTCAGCTTTCTCCCCACTCTTTGTAGGGTCGTACCGGATTGTTCGACTGTTCGACAGCAGGTGGTCGATATCCAGCTCGTTGATTGCACGGTTCTCGGGATCCAGCTCGTCGTCTTCACCCATGATAGCATAAGCTCCGTACCTGATCATCATCTCAACCTTGTCGCGGTCCAATGACATCAATGACATCATGTTACCACTACTGTCATCTTCACCATCAAACTCGTTGCGAACCCCACCGGTCTCAAACACGGCGTGATGCATTCCAAGCTTCTTTGACGCAATCTCAAACATCTGAGCTTCGTATGTCTTTTTCGTCACTAGACGATAAATATTCACTGACTGTGTTTGGCCGATGCGGTGACAGCGCGCCACCGCTTGAAGATCATTTTGAGGGTTCCAATCACTGTCAAATAAGATCACAACCGACGCCGCAATAAGGTTGATACCCACCCCACCTGCACGAGTACTTAGGAGGAAGGCAAATGTGTCGGAATTCGGGCTATTGAAACGGTCGATTGCTGCTTGACGCAAGTTGCCGCGAACAGATCCATCAAGACGCTCCATGCTATAGCCTCGTAACTGGCACATGTCTTCGATAATGTCCAACATGATCTTAAACTGCGAAAAAATGAGCACCTTCTTCTTTTCCTGTCGAAACTTGGTGAGCAGCTTGTCGAGCAGTACAGTCTTACCGCTTGCTTGTATCAGCACTTTCATTCGAAGTTGGTCGTCGAAGCCCATACACTCCTTGTCTTCGACACCTCGAATCAAAAACGGGTGATTGCAGCATTTCCGTAACTCCATCTCAACGTTGACTAAATTGGCAACGGTGCCAGATGCTCCCATGTTCAAAAACTGGCGGTTGCGTTCAAATATAGCACGGTAATATTTTTTCTGCAACGTTGTCAATTCCACATCTACAATCGTCTCTTCTTTTGGTGGAATACTCTTCTCCACGTCCTCTTTCACTCGTCGGAGCATGTACGGTCTCAACTGTTCATGCAATTGAGCAACCTGTTCAGCCGTATTTAGATCACCAAACTCATCATAGAACTCTTGCTGGCTCGGAAATTTTTCAGGCTCGATGAAGTTCAGCAGACACCAGAGCTCGAACACGCCGTTCTGCAGTGGCGTGCCTGTCATCAACAGGCATGAATCCCACGTGAAGCCATGAAGCACCTGAAGCAACTTCGCTTCGCGGTTTTTCAGCTTATGGGCTTCATCGATTACAATGTACCGCCAATGGATGGGCTCTAGGAATTCTGCATCCATCATGAGGGTCTGGTATGACGTAACCAAAACGTTGAACTTGTAAATACCTCGCTTGCGGTGAGCTTCACTCGCATAATAGAACTCTTGTTCACGGATAAAACCGCGAATATCAGAACCTCCTTCCGAGTCGTGGTACACCACGCAGTTCATAGAAGTCCATGTTTCAATCTCTCGCTTCCAGTTTCCCAATGTTGCAAGCGGAGCAACAACCAGAAACGGACCTCGGATAAACTCCTGCTGACGCAAATGCTCTAGGATCGAAGTGGCTTGAACGGTCTTACCTAGACCCATTTCATCCGCGAGAATGCAATTGCGACGGTTGTACCAGCAAAAGGTTAGCCAGTTCAGACCTTCGAGCTGGTAAGACCGCAACGTGTTCTGGTTATTGTATGCCGGAGATTCTTGGTACTTCGCCCACGTTGACGGCTCTGGTCGAATATCTGCATATGTTGCAGGGTGAGCACCATTGATAACAGGGGGGTGATTAAATCGATGGTAAGCAGCAATTTTACGGTCATCTGTGATCTCGTCTTCCCATTCCCACGTGCTATCGACATAGCTCATGTCGCGCCACTTCACAAGATACTTGACACCTCTCTTCTTCGGCACCTTTGGTCGGTCTCCAAATTCGCTAGCATCTTTTTCCATGCGATGAACAAGGTACGGGTTTGCCTCCTCGGACTCCTCAACCTCCTTTGCGTTCAACACACGGTCCACTTCGATGAACGAGACGCTGAAATAATTGCTAAGATCCTTCTCGTCGCCAACAACGACCGTCTCTCGTGCTTCCTCTACCAAGCGACTGTTCTTCTGAAGGAAACGTTTCATGCGCTGGATGGCGTGCTGGCCAAACTCCTCGATTTCTCTTACAGAGAGCCAGTTAACGTGGAGATACGACGTGTCCTTCCACTTGATCAGAAATTCCATGGACACTTCACTATCGTTCCGGTTCTGTCTATGGAATCGTACGCTAACAATTGTATCGATCTGTGGGCCCCTCGACGCTTTCTTCTGCTCGGGTTTCGCGGACTTTTCTTCGTCGCTCAGCTCGAAGTTGAGCTTTTCTTCCACATATTTCTTCTTTGCTTTGCCGGCATTACGCCCTGATCGACGCGCAGGTTGTTCATCCTTCAACACCTTCGAAGCTGAGATGCCATTGTCGGATTCGCTTTCATCTTCATCCTCGTCTGAAAACTTCTTCTTCCCGCGACCTCGTTTGACTTTCTTCTTTTTAGCTGGCTTTCCAGAAGCACCTGATGCAAAGCTCTTCTTTTTGCTCCTGCTCGCATTAGGCTGAATGTAATTCAAAGCCATTGTCTTCAACGCGCGGCTCAAAATCTCGTTCGGTATGTTGCCCCCGGTCGATGTAAACTTGAATACCATAATCTGTGCACGCAATTGCTCCTTTTGCTCCACTGTAAAGGCAGCGCGAAGGGGCGGCCGTCGACGCTGCACTGGCTGCATGTCGCGAACATTCGAGGTCGTAACGGGAATACTCGAGTTTGCACCGTTGCCTGCAGGGTTCATGAACTGGACAGCTCCATTGCCGTACGTTTGGTGGATGTACTGATTGTACGTCATTGCTGCTTCCTTTTCGGTAGAAAATACGCCTAGTCGTCGAATACCGCCGCCATCCACATGCAACTCTGCGGCCCACTGCGTAGGCGAAATATACCTTACACCCATATGCCACATCCCAGTCGTAAATAGTTGCAAATTGTCCAACCCAACCGCCGACGTCTGTTGCCCTTTGCGGTAATACGGGTTATCATGATAACGGCTACTCACCAAACCAATACCACCAGGCCGTCGGAATCGCAATAACACTGGACGCAGCGACTTCAGACGTGATACGACCCGTGCAAAGTCTGCCTGGGATTGAACGAGAAAGCCGTCCACTGCAATCAAATCATCGCCGATCGCTATCATACCGGAAGCTTCAGCTGGTCCCATCATTGTTTCCTCTGGACGGCGAAAGCTCGTCACCGTGACGGAGCCCAAGCGGACACTCATGTTCATACACAGTCCAATCGATCCTTTTTGAAGCAGGACTTCATACTCGTCGCCGGGAAACGGATTCTTCCATCCGTGAGCTCTCGTCTTTTCTGCGCCTAGTGATGCGCGTAGTACGTCTACAGCAAGAGCACCGGCCTGAGCCGGGGTGGACACGTTTTTTGCGTATGCACCCAGCCGAGTCAGTCTTGCACGATCCAGTGCATATGAGATCTCATCCAAGCGCTGAGGCACGAGAGAATTAGCAGCAAACGCGGCAGGATTCAATCCCGGATCACTGCTGCCTTGGCGCTGCACGCAAAGTAAAAACACGGCACAACTTCGTTACTAACATCACAATCGTACAACAAAGTAACGGATGCCATGCGTACATTTGGCCTGGCAGGTGGACTTTTTGTCGTCGGGGTTTCTTGCGCGACTGGCATGTTCCAACTCGAGTTGCTCGGGGTATTTGTGGTCAATGTACTCGATTGTCCTTGCTCCATCCGTGCAGGTCCGACTGCCGGGCCGTCCTGTGGCGCAGTGTAAAACGACGGCGCATTGGTCTGGTGGTAGAACATTTGAGACTGCGACACCGCGCCACTACTCGAAGAACTGGTGCGGACACTGGTAGTATCGTTTCGCACATCAAAAGAAGACGCGCCACTTGCGCTGCTTGGCGCAGTATGGTTGTTAGCCACACTACGTTCATGCGGCTGCGACTGTGGTTTTACTGCACGTGGATCGCCACCCAGCGGCCGAATAGGCGTCGGTGACGAGGCCAAGAAGGTCGATGGAGCATACGGAAAGTGCATCTCGCGACTGCCATTTGGCTGCGTCTGTGCCTGTGTGTCAACACTCAGTGGCATGTCACCAGTACACTGCTGCTCGTCTCTCAGTTGCTGCATTGCAGCAATAGCACCTGTCTCATAGTCCCTCGGTCTTCCAGCTGAGACAACGTCCGTCGGCTCCTCACTCTTGTGCGCCAGCTGCTTTTCACTCTTGTGCGCCAGCTGCTTTTCACTCTTGTGCGTCTGCGGCTCTTCACTCTTGTGCGTCTGCGACTCTTCACTCTTGTGCGTCTGCGGCTTGTCCCTCTCGTGTGTCTGCTGCTCGTCCCTCTTGCGTGCCCGCAGCGCTCCACCCTTATCTGCCTCGTCCTTCATCTGCTGCTCCTCGTCTCCAGCTTCTTGCCGCGACCCATCAGCTCCTGTTGCCTCCACTTCCTTCTTCACACCTCGTGCTCCACCAAGTGCTTCCCTCGACCCTCCACATTCGTCCGCATCGCGTTTCAAGTCCTTTTTTGCCTCTGTTTCACCTGCAGTTGTCCCATCCGCCTTCGCCACGCGCTCGTGCCGCCCAGCGCCAGTCTCTCTGCTCGCGTCCGTCTCGGCAGCTGTCGCCACCGTCTCCAGAGCCTCCGGCCTCGTCTCTATCGCCTCGTCCGCCTCTCGCCCGCCTCTCGGCTCCGTGTCGTCCTGCGCCTCTTCCTCCGGACCCGTAGCAACAGCCACAACTCGTCTACGCGCTGCAGCAGACTCCTCGGCACGCGGCGGCGGCTCCTCAACGCGCTTCTCCGCCCGCTGCGCCGCCGCCGCTTCCTCTTCCGCCGTCTGCTCCTGACGTGGCGCAGCGCTCACGACGTCCATTGGGAACGCAGCGCACGCACGTTGCACGGATCGTCGACGGACGCGTCCCGCGGCTTGCGACACGCCCTGACGGCTGCTCGGACGTGACGGGACGAGGCGCGCAAGATCTGGAGAGCGAGTGCGCTCCTTTCCTTTCGCTTCTTCCGCTTCTCCGCATTGAGCGCGGCGGAGCGCTTGGGCGAGGAAAAAACCCCGTCGTGTTTGTATGGTCGATAGCGCGCCGAAAAACCTCGCGGTAGCGCCAAGTGGGACACTTGACTCGCTGCGCGCTGTCCCGTGCCAAACGACCCCCAAAAAGGCCACTTCAATTGTCAAGCGGCTTGCGCAGGTTGAACCCATTTGCTCAGTCTCGAATTGCCAGTGACAGAAGCTGTAGCCAGCTACACCCCCTCCGTGGTGCATCAACCGATCAGTTGTGTGTGTGTGTGTGTGTGTGCTGGTGCATAATGCGCTCAGGAGCAGCGCAGACGACTGGCGACTCGTCTGTCGCGTGCAGTGGTAAGTGAACGCGACAAGTCGGCGACAACTATGGGCAAGTGGGGCCCCCTTTCTACTCGGCGGACACTCTCCGACCCATGTGCACGTCGGCAGCGGTGTAGCCATCAAATCACATCTCGTCAGCTGCGAAACGCTCAGGTTACGGGCAGAATGGGAAGCGACACGCGGTGTCGCATTCGTCGATCGGCTGTTGGGCAGGAGTCGCCTGTCGACGTCTGGCGGACCAACGAACGAACGTGCGTCGCTCGCGTTCGTCTACAGTAAGTGGGACCTGCTGTTGGTTCTGGACAGAGCGTATCAGAGTCTCACCAAGTGATGGACGGAAGTCCCGCCCCCCTCCCACACACTTGAGCTACGAGCAGTCGGTGCAAGATCCGGATACCGCATGGGCACGAACGAACGATACGATCACCAAAAGGTCACCATCACCAAAAGGTCATCGTCATGTCCCGTGGAAGGGCTGTGTCGGGTCGTATCACCGCAGCTTTTCACCAATGAAAGCGCATGGGTTCACACAAACTCACCTTCGGAACGAGGTCCCTGCAAGTCTTTGCCACTGCTGGGCGCGTTGCTTACCGTCTCAACGATTGCTGCTGTCGCGGAACAAGGGAATGGCCGTTGAGAGCGCGATGGACGAGTTCCTCAATAGTCGTGGAAATGGGCTGACCGGTGTGCCTTTGTTTCGGTCCAGCGACGTGTTTCTGGGCTCACCGCAAACGCACCTTCAGCCCATGCGGACACTATGACGCTGACGAATCGATCCGTGGCCATGAATGCAATGCCATCCTCCGTGTGCCCATCCTACTGCCCATTTCAATTACAAATCACATGTCGGTCGGTTCCCCGATCGTTCGCGTCGACTTTCGAAGAGTACCCCAAGTCGCTGGACATTTGCGGGGGTGACGCCTTTCGATAGTCGTGTCGAATGTCTTTCGCACGTACGTGCAGGTCGACTGACTGGAAGGCTGCGATCTGACCCACTACGAGCATCTGCAGCAAAATGGTTGCACGTTTCTTCGTTCCATCCCCGCGCGATTCGTGTTGCCGATTCCTTTGCTTGGCCCCTCACGCGGTCTGCTTTTGTCGGCCTGCCACGAGAGTTCCAGTCACTGGCTATCGTAGCAGAGCAGTGCGCAGTAAAAAGGCGACCATCGACCGCTGGCTTGACGCCCAATCTTTGCTAGATTTGCACTCCTGACATGTGGCCAAGAGCTGCGTCATGACGATCGAGCGGCACCGGTCAGTACGTACGTATGCAGACAAGTGCGTTGCTTTGAGCTGAGAACACGAGTCGCCGCACCGACACTCGATCGCTACGCTTCAGTGTCGTCTCCAACTCGCACGCAGGTGTACTGCTGCGACTACGGCGAACATCCGATATGCAGCAAGCGCTTCAATCGTCTTCCGGACAAATCCTCGAGGCAAACGTGTGCCTACTTTGTGCCGGACAATGTGTGTGCCTCTCAACTACCACTTTTTTCTCTTGCTATCGCCCATGTTGACCTGTCGTTATCGTTTGCTGCATCAGCGTTACTCTTCACCACGTGACATTGCATGGCAAGTCGCGATCGATGCGTTCTTCGTGTATGCTCTCAAGCTCCTTTACAACAGTCTCATCCTCACAAGTACATTGCAGGTTTGTCAGCAAGACCAGTTGTAGCGCACTTATGCTGCTCACCCCACTCGTGTCAATCGAAGCTGATGTTCTCAAACTGCATTACAATGGAACGCAGAGACCCCGTTCCTGGCTCCAGCCGACGTTCTTGTGCCCGTAACATGAACCTGTATCTGTTTCTGTACTTGTGACGGCACATGTTTCGGGCAAAAACATGCGAGTCGTTTGTCTGCTCCTGATCTTTTGAAGTCACTGGAGCTCCAATGACATTCGAGGCACAAGTAGCTCTTCATCTCATTAGCGTTCTATGACTCCTCGCATGCAAACGTTTGCTGACTTTGCTGTCGATGCACGCAAATAGCGACGTGAACATTGTTGTCGTATGCTTTTTCGTTGCAGTACAAAAAGATTCGCAGAACCGGTGGACGCGCTAGATCTGCTGTCTGATGATTGCAGATGTATGGCCACGCCGATTCGAACACGGTGCCCATGCTCGTATTCCGCCAGATGTAAATGTTGCCAGGCATGTTTACTTATCCGTTTTCTCGTGTACTCTTGTTCATGCGGGTTCGGAACTGGTCGGTCACATGTCGTAATAGTGCTACTGAAGAGGTCAACGCTGCTATCACTCGAGCACGTCGTACCGGAACTCGCGCGCTGTTGCACAATGAGCAAGAGAAACGATACTTGTTATCGGTCGCATAACGAGCGTCACGTGCGATCTATGACATGCTGAATTACGCATTCGAAGAGACGCCATCCTTGTACTGAGGCTTCAGCTCGTAGCAGCTCTTGTTGGGGCCCTTGCGGTGGTAGATGCAAATCTCCTTGAGGACCTCTTTCAAAAACGACTGCAGCAGAAAAACAGGCAAAGCAGAAAATGCATCAATATCAACAACACCAGAGTACAGTAGTGCCCGTCAAGTCAACAGTGGTATACCTCGGGTTGGCGGCAATGAAAATTGAGCTCCTTCAGTGGCCAGTACTCGCGCTCCTCAAAGTGGTGGAACACGAGGTTCTTGAGCTCATCCTGCATCGCCCAGACCAACGACAGATACAATCAGAATCGCAATCTATTGCAACGACCCACCAGCTTGACCGGACCTTGCTCATCTTGATCTTTTTGTCCAATTTGTCCTGTAGTTTCGCATCGGCGTCATCCTGCAACAAGAAAGCATCGCACAACAGTGAGCAACAAGAACACAGACGTTGCGCCGATCGACAAAGCGCACCTCATCGGCGTCGGGATCAGGCTTCTCAATCGTAAACTGGATTCGAGCCTTCTTCACGCGTGGCAAGTCTTCCAGTGGCTGGACAATCCTGTAAAAAATGTAGAGCACACGTCACCATGTAGCAGCTTTCTGGCGTCTCAGCAAAGTGTTCTCAACTCGTAGTACCTCGTCTTGACCATCGACTTGATCAGTCGTTGCTTGCACATTTTGCTATACTGGTCATTCCGTTGGGCCATGATGGTACAGCTGTTCTTCACGGTGCCTTCCACGGCCATACGACCAGAGCCGTCTAATGAGAACACCTTGAGCTTCAGGGGCGTCTCGCTGATCTCTACGCGATACTCGGTCGGAATATCGTCTTCCAGCGTACTCGGATTCACCGTCAGCATTCCCTGACCACATACACCACCACTTAGTGTCGTAGAACATAGCCGAACGATCAGCACATAGTCCACTGCTGACCTTGCGACGTCCCAGGACGCTCTTCTTCTCCAGCTTGATGGACCCCAACATGAGCTCACTCTCTGCCCCACGAGCAACCAACACCCACAAGGTCAATGCCCACTCATCGTGACACTCAGTATAAAATCAAAGCACAGGTCTTCGTACCTTGCACATTCTTCCACGCCGCTCCAAGCGCCGTCTATTCAGTAGGACCATCATCACAAAACCGCCGGATCCACACAAAAGTAGTCACTACCAGCAGTACGCTCTGCACCGAGAAGAGCCGACTACGCAGTGCACAACCGAACGCGCATGTACAACGTAGGGACGCACCGGGATCTTGGCAAGGTACACCTCGCGGTCCTCCAGCTCCAAGTGCAATGGCTCCACAACTTCGTCCGACTCGGCCATCGCACCAGATGTGTGGGCGACTGCTGTCCCGAATTGGGTGAACCACTACCTGTGAAAACGCATACCCGAAAAGTGCGGCCCGTCAATCACCTGTGTTCTTTTATACCGCGCACAAGCACAGCCGCGACACATGTCGGTGCTGCTGCTCAAAGCACCGGACGACAAGTACCGACGTGCGCTCGAGCGACGCGCCGGCTCCAGTCCGTCGCATCAGAGCGTACGAGTATACTTCACCGAAGTGCTGACCTTTGCGTACGTCAATACGCCGCAGCTCGTGGACGTCTTGACGCACGTGGAGCGGTACAGTGGCCTTCTCGTCACGAGTCCCCGCAGTGCGCTCGCCGTCGCGACGGCCGTCAACGGACTCGACGCTGAGCACCAGCGGCTCGTGCTAACGGCTCTGCAGTCCGTACCTGTGTTTTCAGTCGGTGCGGCGACGTCAAGAGCGCTGTTGCCACTCGGAGTGGTCTGCAAAGGCGACGCCGCTGGCTCAGCAGACGCGCTGGCCGCGTCATTGCATCGAGACGGTGGCCTCCCTGCGACGTGCACCGAGAGGCCGATGGTGTTTCTATGCGGCGACAAACGCCGGAATGTCCTGCCCGACAGCTTTCGCTCGCGAGGCCTTCCGCTCGAAGAGCTAATAGTGTACGAGACTTGTGCCGTGTCGAACGTTGCGCTCCCTGTCGAGTGTCAAGTGCCGCAGTGGATCGTGTTCTTTAGCCCGAGCGGAGTGGACGTGGCCAAGGACCGCCTGCCTCTGCCTTGGCAATCGATCCGCAAGGCAGCGATAGGTACGCCGAGTGCGGTTTTTGGTCGTGCGTAGAACCCTCGATGGACGTCCCGATAACAGTTGTTGCACCGTTTGGAAATAGGCACGACAACTGCCGCTGCTCTCCACGAGCATGCCGTCGCGACAGGACAGCCGTGTTGGGAAGCAGACGTGACGGCATTGAAACCCACGCCCGAGGCGCTCGCGAGTGCGATTTGCGCCTTTGAGAGCGAGCACAAGTCGTGAGAAAGAAGCTACACAGACAGCACGTTGCCACAAACAGCACACGGGACACGGGCAATACAGCACTCGTTACATTGCTCGTCTTCAAAGCTGCAATGTCGTCTTTGCATCACGGGTGCGCAGTGTCCCTACTGTTGTGTCCCGGGGGTTCGTCTCCTTCTCTCACTGGGCACAAAAGTGCTCGGGCGGCCACGTTTTACGCGTCTTCTTCCTCCGTTTTGCGCGACTGCAGCGCGAGCTTTAGCGCCTAAAACAAAGGGCAGCACGTCCACCGCACACGATTACAACACGGCATGACCACCAGCTGCGATACGGCATCGACAGACAAACCTCAGCGCCTTCTTTTCGCGCGTTCCAGTCGGCAATCGGCCCCGTGATGGTCTGCATCGTGGCCAAGACGATGCCGCTCGTGAGCAAATAGCGCGCGACTCCGTTCATCTTTTCGAGACGAGTTGGGCGTTTGAGGCTGTCGCGTGGTCTTGAATACCGAGGAATACCGGTGATGATCATTGCCACAAAGACGGTATGTCCTGACTTCTTTCCGGCATCGTTCTGTGTCGTCATATCGTCGCATTCCACCGCGAGTAGCGCTTTATGCATCAGAACTGTTCTGAGTCATAACACAAAACCGCCTGATACAGTACCAATCCCAACAAGCTTTCTTGACGCGAAATGTCGCAGGCATTGATGGGGATCCACTCGTGACTCATCCGGTTGGTACACGCCCGCACGCGTTGCGGCCGCCAGATAGCTACAAATTGTCGCTCTCGCTCGCGCGTGGCTCAAGTGCCACATACCTTATCCGATTTCGTAACAAGTTGACAACCACCCGGTGTTCGACCATCATCTGCTAAGTGCACCGTTTGCACATCCGGAGGTAAGTTTCTTCGCTATGCGAGCTTGCGTTCACGTCGCTGTATGGAGGAGGCCATGCTTCTGCACTTATCTCAGCCAAGAGGCGTTGCTCGTTCGTTTCCGTGTTTCCGGTTGTACCACTGCGACAATTTTTATAAAGGTCTTGGCTTAGTCATCGAAAAAGTGGAGTCGGGATTGCATCAAGACTAAGTCGTTCGACTGCAAGCGCCAGATACTTTTCACCCGCAAAGCGTATCGTTTGCGTATGACTTGCAAAGAGCGTTGTAGCATTACTTTTCATGTCTGCTACCAAAAAATTTCGCAACACTAGATGTCTTTCTCGCTTTAGTATTTGCCGATCTAATATAGTTAGTAGGCTGCTACCCCACGACCTGCTCCCTCGTACTTCATAGTCGATATACAACATTCGGATCGCTGTGCCAGCGTTATTGCGTTATGCACTCGACACAACGATAAAAGTTGCCAACACGGTGGACGTGGAATGCATGTTACAACATGCATCTGATTGCCTTTTCTACAATTTGTCGCGGGTCACGCCCATATTGCGCAGCAGGTGCCGTAGCAAAGAATATGGTAGGTTGGACACTGTTTGCGCGCGTTTGCATAACGCGCGCAACCAGTGTTATCGTGTAGTGAGTTTCGAATCGGATGATGTGCAATCAGCGGGTTGCAAATCATGAAGCACTTTTGCGCTTATCGCTCACATATGCCACATTCGCATGGTTTTGCTAGTCATTGTCGATGCACAGTGTAGAAGTGTAACTTCGTCAATCGGAACGCTTTATAGTTCAACATCTAGGTAGGGTAGCGGGGTGAGCCTGTTACATGTCATTGGCACGAATCGCGGCAATGATAACACCATCGTAATTGATATTAGGGAGCAATATTACTCTTGCGAGTCATTCTGGAGGGAATATCACGTTTAGAGGCAATATTCGGCCATGCTTCACAATTGGTTGACATATGCCATGATATTACCCAAAAAGCTTTAATTGCTACTAGACGCGCGCGATGGATGGTGAGTGAAATCCTGCCTTAGAATTATCTTGTTTAGCGTAGTGTAAGTAAGACAAAAAGGTTTTTAATGGAGCTTATCGATTAGCATAAATTTCGTTTTACCTTCTATATGACAGAATGAGCTCGTTACACAAAATTGATACGAAAGTACCATTCTTTAATGTATTATGCATTTACATATAGGGAATTGCTAAGTTCACACCCCTTTTCCTTTGATTCACACCCTTCCTTCAAAATCTTATATATAAAATCCCTATTTATTTTAAGATTTGTTTTCCGACAAAGGTATTACTCGATAATCTAGGCCATTCATTGATTTGCAAGTAATACGTAAGAAATACGTAAGATACTACTCACGCCTGTGGTCTAGCTCCTCCAGCGTTTACTGATAGGGCACCACGCAATAACATGCTTCCTCCTCCCGATATTGAGCATGCCAGTCGGGAGCAACTTATGGATACTGTGCAGACGTTCGCACGTGGCCAAGGCTACGCTGTTACGATTAAAGTTCGATTGCAGGAAAGCGTGTCTACCTTAAATGTGATCGAGGTGCCGTAAACGTATCAACGGTTGGAAAGAGCGCCAACGCCAGACCAGCTCACGCCAAATTGATTGTCCGTTCCTTTTAAGTGGAAATTTCTCCAAAAAAGGGGTAACTGAAAGTTAAACGTGATGAATGGATGCCACAATCACGAGCCGTCACTCCATCCGTCTGGTCATTCGACTCATAGGAAGCTAAAAAGCGAGCAGGCCGATACTGTCAGAAATATGACATTGGCTGGTGTTAAACCGCTAGGGATTCTTTCATCCCTTCTTATGGAGATTGCCGGTGCCCTAGCAAACCTCTCTGTATTGTACAATGAGCGTACGAAACTTCGAAAGGACAAGCTAAATGGAAGGACACCAATTCAAGCTCTTTTTGATGATTTTCAAGCAAGCAATTATACGCACTTTCAAAGATGTGATGATGATGGAGCAATAACCTCCTTTTTTTCGCTCACAAAGAAATATTTGGCTTGCTTGCCGATACTATCATGTCGTGCTTATGGACTGCACATACAAGACAAACAAGTACCGACTCCCCTTACATCACATTGTTGGTATGACAAGCTTCAAAAGCCAATTTTTGGTTGGCTTCTGCTTTCTTAAAGAAGAGAAATAAAACTATTATATGTGGGCATTATCAAAAATTGCAGCCATCCTGACACCAGAGACACGCCCAGCCGTAATTGTGACAGACCGTGTACTGTCGCTGACGGCAGCTATCGATAAAATATTCCCATCTTCGTCACACATGCTGTGCACATGGCACATCAACAAAAACATCATGTCCAAATGCAAACGACAATTTGAGACGAGCGAGCAAAGGAACTTGTTTCTTCAGCAGTGAAATAATATGGTGGCTGCTAACACGGAAGTGGAATTTATAAAACAGTGGAAAAAGATATCAAACTCTTTTGACAGTAAGTCTATAGTTCTCGAATACCTCTCTAATACGTGGCTTATATACAAGGATCGCTTTGTAAATGACTGGACGTCGAGGTATATCCATGATGGCAACAAAGCTACATCATGAGTGGAAGGCGCTCATGCGTACGCAAAAAAACTGCAAGTATCAACAGGGGACTTGCTGTCGGTGCTCAGCAAACTGACTCTTGCAATTGAGCATCGAGTTAGAACTGAAGAAACACATCGCAGCAGAGACAAGTTACTTCATCTGACCGGGTTATAGTCAACTTTCACTCCAGTATCCGGGATCATTTCAGCCTTTGCACTCAAAAATAGTCTTGATCAATTTAAGAAGAACACAAAAGAAAAAGCTTGTTGCACACTGGTTTTCACCTCTAAAATGGGCATCCCTTGTGCTCACAAGCTAAAAGAAATGGAGAACAGCAAGCGTGCATTGGGCATAAACGATTTTCATGAGCAATGGCATCTGGATTGGAGACGCGACGTAACGGTATGGCATTTACTTTATAGTGTGTGTATCGGACTAACGCTGACTGATGTGGTGATATTTTTTGATAGGAAGCAAGCGGTGAAGTTGAGGCGATCAACGTAAAATGGAACTTTCTTGAAAATAAGTTAAGGGAACTACCAGATGACCAAGTAAATGTTCTCTTTGCCCAAGTGACCCAACTGTTGGAAGGCCTCAGCACAGTGGTGGAGCTGAAAGATCCGATGGTACACACTGAAACTCGTGGTCGTCCCTCTGGCTCCCGTAACCTTCCAAAAATCAGCACAAAACGAGACTTGTCCAAGTTCGAACATGTTGAAAAGGCAGATTATCAACACCAAAGGAAATGTGGGTGCTGCGGTCAACCAGGTCACTACAAACGAACTTTCCAGATTCAAAAGTAATAAGAGGTTGAAGACTAATATGCATACTTTTTAAGCAAATCATAACACCTTGATGTTGATCAGTTATCGATTGTCATACTTCCTTCTACCGTGCGTGTATGTATTTTTACGCTTAAACACGGTGGAACAAAATGGAATTCGTCAAGTCTTCAAATCACATTATAGCTCCTGATGGATTAACATTGGTTAACAGTATGTTTATTACAACAACAACACCAACACCAACACCAACACCAACAACACCAACACCAACACCAACAATAACACAACAACAACAACACAACACAACACAACACAACACAACAAAACACAACACAACACAACACAACACACCACCACCACCACCAACAACAACAACAACAACACCAACAACACGACTTTAACAACATCAACACCAACACCAACAACACCAACATAAACTCCAACACCAACACCACCACCACCGTGGGCTTTGACCTTTTTGTCTATGTCGGTGCCAGCAGCTACAGCAGCGCGCAAGATGTCGCCCGTAGCCAAGTGGCAGAGAAAGTACTCGTCTTTGTCCAACGGCGATTGCGTACCTTGTATATATAAGATTTTGAAGGAAGGGTGTGAATCTAAGGAAAAGGGGTGTGAATTTAGCAATTCCCTAAATATTTATTCAATTAACATAGCTCCAAAATAGATAATATTGTCAGAATATTAACCCCGATGGTAATATTCGTGGCTGCTCCACTTCTTGGTTGATGTAGCCTCTACATCAACCACGT